ACCCGCCAGGCATCTTTCGCAGTCTTACAATGAACTATCATCTAGTGTCTTGTTTGATCTACTGCCATCATGATCGCATACAAGACACAATAGTTGGCTTCTTCTTGAAGCTTCTCAGCATCTGTCCAATTGCCCTTAGGTTTAGGAACCGTGACTTTCGTTGATTCTTTTCCTTGATCAGGTGCTTGTTGCATGACTGGATGCTCCCAGCCGTTTTAACACTTTCCCACACACCTTTTCCAAGCGATCTCAGAAAAATTGTTATCATAGACTTCCAATACGAGTAGTTTGAACCGTCCAATTGCAGAGGCCTGGACATCTATCCGCTTTCTTGATTCATGATTTGAAGGTAACACACGTCCTCGGATCTACCGTAATGAAGACAAAAACCCGCTCTGGTGCCAATTGTAATTTGATACTTGAACACCAAGTATCCAGAGTTGCACGTAAATAGAACAAACAGACAGTAATGAAGATTCAAATAATTGCGGAAGCAGTTTTCACTAAAAAATGAACCTTCAGGAGAGCGTCCCACTCTCCATTCAGATCTCTTTAATTAATGTGAACAACTCATACATCATCCAAGGATTTACAGTATAGACTCCCTCTACACTCTACTTGAATGATGATTCACACAACTACTTATCCGACCACAACTCCCTTGTGGATTTTTCTAGTTCGAAACCCTCGAACTAAATCAGAATGAACCTCCGAACATTCTGTTACAAAAACTTATGTGTTCTACTTATCACTCAAGAAAAGAAAAATTATGAAACTCAAAAATTCCGAATCAAAAGTCATCCTCAACTCTGGTCTCGTCTTCCTTTTATCTTCAACATCATTTGGTAAGTCTCTGCGCCCAAGTCATAAACACATATGGAAGGTAAATCCCACGATCTTCTTCTTCTTGAATTGTGGAAGGTGAATATTCCCCTTTGATCTTGTCGACCTGGAAGAATAAAACAAATAATCAGTCAATTTGACTTAAATAAAAACATGACTTATTTATACCAAAAATAAACTTTCCTTAAATACTCCCGTAAATTTCTGGACTCTGTGATCATCAGAAGGTTCATCGATTTACTGCCAATCTCTAGTACTTACAGAATCTATTAAGAAAATGCCAAAAAAGAAATGAAAAAAAAATGACAGAAAGAAGAATAAGAATAAGAATAGTTTTATAACAAGAATTATATAGAAATTTTAATGTAGAACATATATACTTACCTCGGGCTTATCAATGTCAGACAACTGAACAAAATTTTTTTTCGGGCAAATCCACCGAGTGCCTCTCGGTAGACCATTTCCGCTGCATACCATTCCACCTCCTTGTACAAACTCAGGCATCATCTCACAAGCCCATATATATTTAGAAAAAAAAAACTGGAAAATGGTCTTTTTAAACTAAATAACAAAAAAATAATGACACAATTGTAAAATTGTATATGTAGCTGAAAAGGCATTAAAAAACCATGGATGTTCAACTGAACATCACACCCCTCATCTGGTTCACTTATACCATCGAGACTTTAGTATAAACGCTGAAAGGAAAATGTGCCCCAAGGAAATTTCCCGAACATGTCCAAATTTACAACGAACGTTCAAAGCCAAAGTGGCACAATGGACCTCGGGTCGGGTGCAAATAAGAAAAAGTGAACAATTAAGATCATGGCAGCCTTCAGCGCGTCATCGGGATTATTCTGAAAATGACCGTTCATGAAATCCCTCAACATATCACCTCCTATCACACTCTTGCCATCATAGTGGGTTGATATATCCCATCAATGGCCGGTAAACTCTCATTCTCCTCGGGGATAAATTCCGACCCACCAAACATCAAGCCACTGATTGGAAAAATTCGACTTTCCCGAATTTATAATTATTACCTCCAATTCGAAACCAACGCTCCTTCTCTCGAGCGTCATGGAGAAAAACCTCTCGACCAAGTAAGGCAAGTAGTAGTCTCCCACTGTAGTATGATTGCCCATCAAACCTCAAGAAATGTCCAAAACAAGATTGTTCAAACTCCCGAAGACGGTCACAAGCACCTAATTGATTCTTAATATAGCCTATTACTTTAGGCTTCGTCTGACAATTTATTTTGCCGCTCCAAGTGCAAGCTTTACCCATCTCCAACTCCAACAATCCCCCTAACAATCATGAAACAATCAATATTATTTTAATTTTTTTAAAAACACAAGAAACGTGGTTTCTTGCAATGAAACAAACTTCTAGTCAAGAAACATGCTTCTTGTCAAGAAACATGGTTTCTTGCAATGAAACAGGTTTCTTCTCAAGAAACTGGTTTCTTGACAAGAAACTAGTTTCTTCTCAAGAAACCAGTTTCGTGAGTTTATAATGAGTTTTATGTTGTTTACTCAAGAAAGAATATTTAACTTCCGTTTTCTTTAGTAAGAAACAGGTTTCTTGCCAAGAAACTGGTTTCTTGACAACATACTAGTTTCTTGCCAAGAAACCTGTTTCTTGGCAAGAAAACGGAAGTTAAATACTCTTTCTTAAGTAAACAACATAAACTCATTAGAAACTCATTAGTTTCTTGAACCAAAAAACTGAAGTTTTTCCACGTAAACTACAAAACTTATTTTTGAGCACAAAAACATGATACCTCGTTAGCGGTTGTCATCTCGTCGTGTTCCAAGAATAGCGCCTCAAAGAGGTAAGAGGTTTGTATGAAGATCTGTTTTCAAGTTAAGAAAATGAAGAAATGGATCAATTTACATTTAAAGATGACTACTTCTTCAGGATATATCAAATTAGTAGCAAAAGCCCAATAAACTCAAAACTGAAGACATAAATAGGGTGGCATACAACTGTATTTTGAGTTGGCTAATACTCTAAGCATACTTGCCAGTACCTGCCACATGACTAACAATATCCACATCAAGACAATATTAATAAGCAAGTAAAACAGCCACAATCTGATTGTAGAAACCGATATTATTCAGAACAATTCAGCAGCACATATGCCACCCGACTGATAGAAGTAAAAGGAAAGATCCTACACTAACAAGTGCATGCTCAATGATGCATACTGAACAATGGTTCCTATCATGTCTCACAAAAACCATCATTAACCAGTAAAATCAGCTAATACTAACCAGTAATTCAGAGTCCATCAATGTAGTAGCAAAAGCCCGATTAACTAAGAACTTAAGACATAAATAGGGTGGCATATGGCTCTATTTTGAGTCGGCTAATACTAACTCTACACATAAAATCACTTTGACAAGTCCCTTGCCAATACCTGCAAGTCAATGACCAACAACCACATAAAATCACTCAAAAAAAGTTAGTGTTAAACCATATAATCCTATACGCCAAGCAACTGTTAAGTCTGTTGGAATTAGACATCTCTTTAATCTGCCTTAAACTTGTAATAAAACAATACATTTCATGACATAATTTGGAACTAAAGAGGGAGCTAGACCTTTGTTAAGTGCAAAAACAAACTTGAAGAGGTTATTGTATAAATGTTAAGGAGCATTCTTCTTGCAATTATTTGAAATATAATTAAATTTATTCTTATGATTAACCTCTATATGTCTAGTTCATTACACTGTCCATATATCAGTGCTCATTAACAGCTATATTCAACTATTTCTTCAGTTTTCCTGATTATCATATCTTCTTACATCATGAAAGATTGTATTACAGAAAATTCTTCAAAGATCACAACCCAATCAAAATCTCTTTCCACAATTTTTTGTTGTTAAACAGACCAAACACTTTTCATTTGTCAATTCTACAGATAGAAACCAAATACACAACAAGTGGGCGGCTCAACAGCCCATTGAACACCTAAATTCCCAAATACACACCAAAAGGTTATTCTACATATACAAACCAAATATACCCAAAATTCCCAAATTAAGGCTTTAACTTATTTCCAGTCACATTCTACTCCCTAATCCAAAAACAAATTCCCTAAAATCCTTAAAAAACCCTTTATCAAAAATCCTAAAAACCCTAAAATTTTGAAGTTAAGGAACCGCACCTTGGGAAGAACAACAGCTTTGACTCGCCGGAAAGGGAAGAGCAGCTGCTTTGACTCGCCGGAATTGGAAGAGCAGCGGCTGTGACTCGTCGGAATGGGAAGAACAACAGACTGTGGCTCACCGAAATGAAACGAGCAGCGGATTGTGAATCGCCGGAATGAGAAGAGCAGCACTCGACGGACGTGTGACCCGCTCGAAGAGATGAGCAGAACTCTACTCGCCGGAATGAATGAGATAGCACCGTGAAAATGGGGAAATGAGAGTAGATTTTTTTGAAATAGGGAAATGAAAATTGAGATAGCAGAACTCCCGTTTTTTTGTGTTCTGAAATTAGGAAATGTAATGGAAATTGAAAAAATAAGAAAATGGTGTGTAAGGACAGTTAGGTCTTTTCTAAAGGCCAAGTGGCTGGATTTCATGTTTTTTAAAAAAATAGTTATATTTCATCTTTTGTTTGTTTAAGTGCTATAAAGCACCATTACCACTTTTTGTTTTATTCCAATACATGCATTTTACGTTCTTCCAATCATCCATTCATTCAAATCTAAATTCTTACCTTAATAAAATTATATCGTGCATTGCACGAGTACCGCACTAGTTCGGGTCAAAAGGCAAATGCCATTGTTTACAGAAAGAGATCATATAACAAGAGTAAAAAAGTTTCCAGTTGCTAATTCAAATCAAGAGCACCTCTCAACTTTTGGCCCGAGCAGTTTCATCCCATTCGACACGAATACACTTCCAATAATGCGAAAGGGCAGCTAAAAGTTGAACTAACCCCAAAAAATTTTTCTTTTCTTGGCCAACCAACAAAAAGAGTATGTTGCTCGCTCATTTCCAGTACAAATATACATTGATCTCCTCAAGATACTAACTAACGAAATGATTTCTCAGTTTTTGAACACTGATTATCCTTTCAGTTGTTGAATCGACCGTCTTTCTCAGTTTTTGAACACATTCTTCCAATTCAAAACCCGTAAAAATCTACTTGAACGGGGCAAATAAAATTGATGAGTTGTGGCCACCAAAACCAAATGAATTAGACAATGCCACCTTGATGTCCAGTTTTTCTTTTGTCGATCCCACCAGCACAGACGAATCCTGAATCAAATGTGATCTCATCAGTAAACAATCGTGCATCTTTGGAGGGAAAATGAGATAATTGCAAATACTACTCTCGACATGTAACCATGAAAGAGTAAACATTAAATTCTAAAAATATAAAAAGTTAAAAAAAATCCTTGGCACACGTTCTTCACAATCACCTCAACAAAATATGGTCCTGGACTAAATTAACAAGCACAAGGACATTCTCTCGTTCATCCGTGAACTCATCTAGCAAACACATGCTTGAACCAAATTTAATAAGACATTTAATCAATTCTCTTTCCTAAGCAATAAATGACCATATCCTCACCCATAAGCACGCTATATATTAACAGACAGGTTTTCTTTACTGTGCGTAAAAGATGATTGAGTGGGGTTGGGTAATAACGTACCACACCACCATCTGGATGTTCAAGATTGACGTTTGGATGAACCCAGCCAGTCCTGATAGCCTACAAGAATATAAAAGTCCAGTTTAGGGATATTCATTTAGTTAGTCACAACAAGAATTGTTAATCACTTTTCAGCTTGTCTAATTCTGGATCACAGGTTTATGTGCTCTGCACTAACAGTATATATTATCAAAGCTCTCATAAAAATTACAAACACCAACTTTGTGTCTCAACTTCAAGCAAGAATAATTAAGCAGGAAATAACAGCACCACAGAACTTAATAGATCTGCGATACAGAAGGTTTTAATGAAATTTGCCTTGAAGTTGAGGGTGGCAAACATAATAGGTCCAATACTGGAAACGGGTAAATAAATTCAGATTGATCTTTTCCATGGGTAGCGTTGTGTGATGTAATCATGTAATGTATGCAAGTTCAAGCACCATAAAATATCATATTTCAAAAGAAAATAGGTTTACATAGGAGAATCAGTTAACTTTAGGTTCAGTTTTATTCAACCCAAGGAGAATACAAGCATATTAAAATTAAAGCACTAAAGTAAAACAAAGTAATACAAGACCTTGTTTGTAGAGCTATTTAAACATAAAATAAGTTTCCCGCAAATAGTTCTTTCGCTAGATAACTTGAGCAAAAGTAAATTCCGTTTTAGCATATTTATAGAGCATTAGAAGCATTTCTACCAATTTTACCAAGATACTTTTACACAAATTACAAGCGCTCAATATCAGTATTATATAAGATGTTTGATGAGCTTTATAAGCTTACTGAAACCAAAGTAGGCATGCTAAACTATCTCAATGACCACTAACAAATTAAATATGTAAGCACCTGGACAGTTGCAACAGCCTCCACAGCACCAGCTGCGCCAAGTAGGTGCCCAATCATAGATTTTGTGGAGTTCACCCTTATCTGCAAATGGCACTAGCAGGGTATTCAACAAATCCCTTTGTACTCAAAATACGCGTGGTATAAACGAGAACTTGAGTTTGCGAAGAAACCTCTGGGTTCTGCCCGAAACAATGAAGAAGAGCCTGATACTCCTTAAGATCACCAGCTGGAGTAGATGTTGCATGTGCATTTATATAGTTCACATCTTCCTTAGATACCCCTGCCTGAGCTAAAGCTTTCTCTACACACAGAATGACGCCAGTTCCTGCTTGAAGATTGTTGAATAATGAGTATATAGAATGGCAGCATAGGGGTCTCAAATTACTGCAGGTTTGTATATATTGGCATAACTTAAACTTGGTCACAAACACACAAATGAAACTATAAACAATTGAAAGAAAAGCAAATTCTAAAAGTGAAACTGCCATAAAGCAATAGAATTGACCGGACAAAAGTTGCCAGTTTATTAATCAAAGGGAGCAAAAGGTGGACACACATGCCACCAATACATACATATCTGTTGTTCAATGCCAGAAAAATGGTAGCTTCAATGCATATAAGAACATGAATAAGTGCACAAACCATGATAATGTTAGTAATCTTGAAGAGTCGATCCATTTTTTTGATGTCCAACGAATTGGTCACTATTCATCAGCAACTTTGGATAGTTCAACACAAAACCATTTAATAGTTATTAAATAGATTTGTAAATCCAACAGGGTCTTGGGTAAATGTTAGCTCCAAATGAAGAGCCAATTTTGTAACAAAAGCCCAAAATAAGGGCTCCATTATTAAAATGTGTATTCCATATCACATAATTTCTAGACCATAAGTTTACAGTAGTTCTGGACTTGAGGCTAAAAAACCATCCGATAAATGGATAGCTAACTTCGCCAAAAGCATTGGGTTATGTGAAACAGACTCCATATTGAGACTGCTCTTGAGTGCATTCACATACAACTACAACCACACAACTCATACTACAGCAATCTAGCCTTGTGCTACTCACTAGGCTAAAGATAAAGAGGGTCATATACCTTGTGGATGAGGCTCTGTCATGTGATAAGCATCACAAGTGAAGCTTCCACCAAGAAACTCGGCATAAATAGTTGCACCTCTATTCTGGTTATCCATAAATGATATCAAATTTGGTTGATTAGAATATATAGTCAACAAGAACTCCTCTGAATACATGTAAAAAGATTGAATCTGGAACCAGCAGGGTTTATGATACCTTAGCATGTTCAAGCTCCTCCAAGAGCAATACTCCAGACCCTTCTCCCATAACAAATCCATCACGATTCTGTCAAGGTTGGAAATTCAGTTACAGGGAAACTAATACTTGAAATAAAAAAAAAAAAAATAATTCTGTACTGCCTAGCAGTTTCTCTTGTCCACAACATTCAGGATAGTGGTTCATTTGAATCCTTTAAATAGAATAGTCTAACAAAGAATATCTAGATATGCAAACCACCAGGAACATAAATATGGATACTACACAATCATTTTGATTTTGTAAGATAAAAACTTCATTTAGCATTCAATATAATCACTGTCGTAAATCATGCAATCGAAAGATTATCCATCCCACATAATATGTAAATTGAGGATACTCGTCACTGGTGAAGATTTATGTATTTTTCCATGGCTGTTGCGAACAGTTTGTAAGTTTTTTGTGCAAAGATTGCAAGAGAAGAAATCAGATATAGGTATACCATGCCACGGGGGACGAAGAAGTTTGTTTCAATTGAGAACTCTAGTTTCTTAGAAGCACAACAATAACGTTGCAAATATGGGGCATCGTGAATCACGATAATGCAACGAATTCTGATCAGGAAAAATTATAATCATCATTATCAAAATTTCAGCCCAACAAATTACTGCATAGTTAAATGTAACTAAAACCGAACATTACACTATCCCAAGGACGTGATGCTTTAGTCGGATCACTGTTTCTCTGTGACAATGCTCTGCAAGCAACAAAGCCTCCCAATCCTGCAACAATGTTTATGATGTGGAAATACTGCACAGGAACTGAAAATATATGAGCAAGAAAAAGAATGTTACCAATTGGAATGATTGCCGCATCGGAGCCACCACAAAGCATCATGTCCTGCAAAAGCAAGCATCAGTATATAGAAGGCAATACACATAGCCTGGTATATATTCGGACATTTTCAATATTAATACACCAATGAATATGGAACCCCAGGTGGCAAAGAGGAACTCAATCTGCATCCTGGAAGAAGGCAAGTGACTTACTGCTTCATCTCTAATAATGTGGTTAGCAGCATTCAGTATACAGAAGTTGCTCGTTGCACATGCGGTAGATATTGAGTAGTTTGGTCCCATCCATCCCTGCAATAAAATGCTTAGCAGGACGGCAATAACTTATGCAGCAATCAACCAGCAATAGATTAATCTAGGAATTTCTTTAACCAGATCCATGGCGAGAATGGCAGAACCCATATTTGTAGTTGCAAAAGGTACACAAAATGGATTCATCTTCCTATATGAGATCCGTAACGCTTCAATTGCATCATTAAAAACCTGTTCAAATAAATTAATCAACTGAGAGGGATATAAACTATATCTCAAGATATATTAATGTTCAGGAGTGAAGAACTATTAACTAGAGGTCTTTTGTGTTTAAAAAATGTAGGGTTGTTTGAGAGAGAGACTCTAACTTGCTCTGAAGTAACAACACTCCCTGACATTTTATATCATGTTATGACGCCCGGCATCTCATTTTTACTGTCCGAATGTAGAAATGGGCAAAATGGTCCAACTATTTAAGTTCAAAAGCAAAGATACCATCACGGTTTTTCACACATTTTAAAAAATGTGAGAATCAAATAAAGAAAAAAGTTAAACAAATATTACAAGCAGGCAGAAAAGTTAAAACTCCAAAGTAATATGGTAGGAACATCTAGCAAACTCTGTTCCTTTGGTCAGTTATCATTAGTTTATATACATAACCTTCTTCCATCATTGTGCAAAGGAAAAATTAAACTTACTTTCATCCCACCCATAGCAGAGCCAATTAGCACGCCACATCTCTTTTTATTCAATTCTTCCATCACATCCTCTGTAATTCCTGCATCCGCCAAAGCCTTCTTGCCTGCTGTCAACATATAAAGCATGAATTTGTCCATTCTCTTAGAAAGTTTGGGAGCAACCCAACCATCTGTGGAGAATGATTTGATCTCTCCAGCAATTCTCTGCAATCAAAACCCTTACAGCAGTAAATTCAGAAGAACTACATAAAAATAAATTGAGATTAGTATGACAAACAATACATACAGTAGGAAATTGCGAACAATCGAAAGCCTCAATCTCACTAATCCCACTGATTCCTTCCAGCAGGTTATTATAAAAGATATCTGGATCATGACCAAGTGGTGTCTCCACACCCATACCCGTCACAACCACTCTCCTTTGATTTGTTTGAGGTTTTTTCTTGGATGTAACTTCCATGGTTGGATTAACAGCTACTGCCATTACTTCTCCTTTAGTTCACATGGGAACAAGATAAATTAAAAATCCATTCATCTACATTTCAGGGGAAAACTAGGTTAATGCATCACAATGCATTACGCGTGTCAAAATTGCAAATCAACTAATTATACGAGTATCGATATGGAGGAAGAAAAAAGAAATCAGCTACAGAGAGAAGAAGCCCTTTTTGGATGGAAAATTTTGTGCAACTAAAAATGGATAAAAGCTAAATAGGCCGTGATAAGATGAACCGCCTGTTAATCCGACATTGATGTAGCTCAACAAAAGAGCATTTGTTAATAAGGAAAAAAGGATAAGCAGTCATTAAGATTGGCTAACCTAACTGAACCCAACCACACCCACCATACAAAAAATGGGAAGTAGGTGGAAAACTTTGTATCCTAAGTAGCGGCACAACTGTGAATATAGTTAATGCAAGTTAGCTGTACCTTAATTAACCTCAAGCACACAGAAAATGATAAAAGATAACATTCATGCATAAACTATAAACAAAATACATAAACTATAAACAAAATAAAGCACAAAGCCACCACCAAGTATCCTTTAATCCAAAACTAATGTTGAACTATAGATTTTTGTCAAGCCCCTTCAGTAATAAATGTGCCATTAAACACAAATTCACTAAGAACCAAATCCCATTATTGAAAACCTCAAATCAGTAATAAATAAATTACAAACACAGACCAAATTACGGAAAAATTCAATAATAAAATCGGTAATTAAAAAAAAATAGTAATAATAAATCGACAACCAAACTCGACCCCTAAATCGAACGCGAGCACAATCGGCAAAAACAAACAATAAGAGCAGCGCACCTGAATGGGCCAACGGTCGCAGGAGCTTCAGGCGCCTGCGGTGCACCGGAACATTCCTCGATCCGAACCCGAAGAACCCATCGGCGGCGAGCGAGGACCTGTAGAAGTCATCGCAGGGCTCGAACGCGAGGCAGGAATTCACGAGGTCCCGGATGCCGCACAGGTGGGGAGCGCATTTCGCGACAACCCTCCTCCGGCGGCGGGCGGCCCACCTGCCAAGGCGCGAAGGATCGAACGACGCCGCCCTCCTCGGGCACAGCATGGAGGCGCCGGAATCGTTCTCGCAGGCGACGGACATGCATGCGGCCATTAGCCATGAGCACACCGCCGATGACGCCGCCATCGAAAAAACCCTCCGCCCCTGCACACGACGCACTCACCACCACCTATTATATCCGCGCCAATGCGTGGCGCACGAGCTGGTGCGGTTATGCACAATAATTCAAGCTCCGATCTTTGATTTTCCCCTTGTTAGCTCCGGTTCGAACAGCCTGGAAAGTGACAAGCTCGAGTGTGCTTCAGGACGAAGATGGTGAAAATAACGAGAGGGACATTGTTAATTTCTGGTGATAGATTGAATCTGAGAGAGAGAAAGTCGAGGTATACAAATGGCGTCTGTGCTTTGTTTGGATTAACATATATTAATAAAAGGCTGTCTCAGTGTGTAAAAAAAGGGAATTAATGAGGCAATATCTAAGTTTTTAGTGAACACGCAAACGCAGCCTTAAATACACTTCCTCTCAATAGCTTCGTGGGGCTAAGGGGACTATAAAAGCTATTGTCCCAACAATATTTGGCATAAGCATCTCCTACCAGAAAAAAAAAAAAAAAAAAA